TCAATATTTGATCCAGGGTTCCCATATTTTTACATATCTGCCTCTTCTCCCCAGTGTCGACCAGTGTATCTCTTCCATTTCCCTCATTCTCTCCACCTGCTGCACCCACTGCTCTCTGGATGGCATGTTGGTGTGAAGAATCAACCTCCCTGCATTTGGTACGTTTCCTCCCTGCTACTTTTTTCGTGGAATCCACTATCTTTTATTGTGGGTTGTTCGGTACTTTTAATCGTTAGAATCCCTTGTTCGGTAAAATAACTATTTTACCGAACGAGGACCACCCTGGGTAGCAATTAGAACTTAGAATCCATGTTATTACATGAAATCGCAAGCTAATTGAGTGCTCCTGGGTGGCCACCATTTCGGGATACGAACATGTGGCGAGAACAATGGATGGCGGACATCTTAAACTCCCGGCCAGCAGGACTTAGGCGTCAAGCGCCTGGAATGATTTTCGGCATGGCTCTCCAGCGGATTCTCATGAAATTTGGATATGTTGCTCACATCACCCTCAGCTACCCAGGGATATTTTTATATTGATATGTTATGCATAAAGTATAATAATTGTAACTTTTCTGGCCACTAGATAATTGAGTTTGATAAGTTGCTCAAACCCAATTATCTAGCCTGGCCCAGAGGAGGAGCTATGTACTGTATAAAATATGTGCTTTGTTTCTCAGTAAATCAGTCTTGTTCCAGCATTAAGCTTTGGCTCATGAGTGGATTATTCGGTGATACCAGCGATTTATTACTCTGTGGATTACTTGGCTATTTTATTTTATGGGAAGAAGGGAATGCTTGACGGAGTAAAGGATTGTAAAGGATTGTACCGTCACAGTTGGTTTGACGCCAGTACATTGGGATGAGGGTGTTGGCCTCTCCTATTAATAGGTTCAGTAGTTGCTGTTTATGTGTTTCTTTAAAAGAACGTGGCCAACTTAATAATACCTGAGATGGGAGTTAAAGGGGTCTGTAGAGGCATGATCTCTGCTATATCAGTTAGTATTTGTCACCAAAATGGAGCTATGTCATTACAATGCCACCAAATGTGTTCCATATCCTATAAGATACTCAAAATGAGTATCCACTGGAATAATAAATAAATATAAATACTGTAGAAAATAATTAATACAGCTATATACCATGAGGAAATACAATTGAAAAAGATACTAGTAGATGGGTCAGACAGAAAAAGACATAAATGCCAAATGGCGAACCTCCCTTCCTAATGACTCTAAAAGTAGATACTGTAGTTTGCAGGTTTAGACTTTAATATAATCCTTAATGGGTCAATATCTGTGACTGCAGATTATGTCAATAGGAGTAACAATAAAAATAAGAGACATAAAGGGACTTGCTTATACCTAGTGCAACTCAAAATAGAATAAATGTACTATTGTATACTTCTACTTATTCATAATTAAGGAATATAGATCCCCTTGGTGGGAAAATTCCCCAACTAGCAGGAAAAGTAGTGATACAAATTATGTCACATTACTGCATATTTAGACACTGTATTTATATTTATTTATTATTCCAGTGGATACTCATTTTGAGTATCTTATAGTTCTCTTGATTAGGGGTTATGCCCCAAGACACTACTGGAGTGTCTTATAAGGTGTTACTTCTACAGGCTGAGTGGATCAGTCTATTTATAGACAGCCATCACCTGTAGACGTTTTTTCTTTCTTTCCTTCTGTGTTCCATATCCCCCTGTTCCCCGTCACATCTCCAGCATTTATCACTGACAGTGGGCCAAAAGGTGTGTAGTTGCGCTGGGGTTCTATATCATCTGGTGACCCTTTTGTAGAAGGTCTCTTTGCGGGCAACGCTAATTGGGGTTATAATCCCAGATTCCAGAATGTGGGTCCAGTCCTTGTCGGACATGTGGATGCGAAGGCCTCTCATCCATTTTCGTTGGAATAGAGATTCTGGCTGGTCCCCCACTGCTGCCTGGAGAATATGATATATTTTAGATAGGGGTAATTAGGATTCGCTCCCTTGGCTACAGAGAAGTCCGAAGGGTGTTTTGTCCCTTGGGCGCCAGAAGGGGAGGACTGACTGGGTCAGAAAGTTGTTTAGTTGTGTCCTGCACATAGTCTCTAGTAATGTCTCCTGTCAGTTCTGTCTGGGGAAATCCCTTAACCCCTTAAGGAGCAAACTTCTGGAATAAAAGGGAATCATGACATGTCACACATGTCATGTGTCCTTAAGGGGTTAAAGGGACACTATAGTCACTTGAACAACTTCAGCTTAATGATGTTGTTTAGGTGAGAACTATAGCTCCCTGCAGCCTTTCTCATGTAAACACTGTGTTTTCTGAGAAAATACAGTGTTTACATTGAAAGCTAGGAACACCTCCAGTTGCAGTCACTCAGCGTGAACCAGAGGGACTTAGGAGTTGATGGAGGCATAATATGCCTCCATCCACTCAGATCTGCTGTCAGCATAGCACAGAGCAGCACTGTGCACATCATCCTGTGATTCAATATCTCCTCCCTCTGTATGCAGACACTGGACTTTCCTCATAGAGATTCATTGATTCAATTCATCTCTATGAGGAGCTGCTGATTGACCAGGGCTTTGTTTGAATCATGCTGACTCTGGCCCTGATCTGCCTCTTTGTCAGTCTCAGCCAATCCTATGGGGAAGCACTGTGATTGGATCAGGCTACCACATGTCAGAAGACTGCTTGTTTTTCTGAGTCTAACAGCATGCAGATTTACAGCTTCAGGCTTGAATACAGTTAGAGTTTTACTATATTTATGGAGGCATGAGGGGCCCAGGGGGGCTAGATGGTGGTGTTAACACTATAGGGTTATGTCAAATAAAAGACCTCTCCTCAACACACACCAAAATGTGGTGGCGACACAAAAACATCTGGGCACTGTCCCCAGGACTCTTGGTGGGAAGAACCAAGCACAAAGCCAGCCTGGTCAGGGTGGATCAGTCTAGGCAGAAGGGGTTTGAGCCGGTTGTCGACCAGTTTTGCCATCAGCTTTAAGTCTAAATTTATAAGGGAGATAGACCTGTAACTACCACATGCCGTGGGGTCTTTTCCAGGTTTAGGGATGATAGTGACCGATGCTCATAGCATCAGGGGCAGGAGTGGAGAGCCCTGACCTAGTCCATTAATTGTTTTAAGAAAGTGTGGTCCTAGCTCTTCAGCCAGTGTTTGGTAGTATCATGCTGTCAGTCCGTCCAGGCCTGGGCTTTTGCCTTTCGGCATCGTCTTAATAGCTAGGGATAGTTATGCAGGGGAGAATGGCTCTTCCAGTGTGTTTGCCACTTCACTGAGGATAGTGAGTGGGAGATTTGAGGTGATATATTCCCGTATGTTAGGGGATGCTCTGACTGGGGGGGTTAGATTGTAGAGGTTGCGCTAAAAGTTGCAAAACGCCGCGGCTATGTCATCTGTAGTGTTGAATTGCTTCCCATTCCCACCCAATATCTTGCTAATAAAGGATCTCTGGAACTTTTTCTTAAGAGCCTGGCCCAATAGCTTCCCACTCTTGTTGCCACAGGCATAGAATGAGCTCCTCATCAGCTGGACCAATCTATGTGCTTTTAGAGCATGGATTCCTGCTTATGGAGGGTCTCCATCTCATGTATGGCTGCTGAGAGAGTGTTCTGTTTATGTGTGCATTCTTTCTTAATTCTAGAGCCCCATTTGATCAGGATACCCCTAATGACCCCCTTGTGGGCTTCCCAGATCCAGAAATCTGAGACCTCTGATGTGTCATTGTCTGTGAAGTAGTTATGTAGGGTCATGCATAAGTCTTCCAGTACCCTAGGGTCTTGTTTAATCACCAGTGTGTCTTGTGTTTGGGGGCTCTCTTTAATGCTAAAGTCAGGAATATTGTAGCATGGTCCGACCATGTGATATTGCCAATGACATGGGGAGATGTCTACGGCTGAGGAGAAACATGTCTATTCTGGAGTAACTCTTCACTACCAGGGAATAGTATGTATAGTCCCTATCTTATGGGTCAATCAAGCGCCAGCAATCCATCAGTTGTTGGGCATGTAGCGTGTTTGAGAATAGTGTCCGCTGGTCGCATCTGTTGTCTGTGGTGTCAGAGGAGCTATCAATCAAGTGATCCAAAACCATATTCCAGTGTCCCCCCACAACCACCACCCCCTCAGCATATCCCTCCAGCTTGGTCAGGCAGGAACGTATAAAATGCACCTGATCAGAGTTTGGGGGATATAAATTTGCCAGTGTTATTCGCATGCCATTGTAATTCCCTTTGATGAACATGAACCCCCTGGGTCTGTTTTGGTGCTAGTCTCTGTGAAGGCTGCATGTGATGCTATTAGTATCGCCACACCCCTAGATTTCACCTTCCCATAATTACTATAGTAGGTCTGTTGTATTCGTTTAGATCCAAGCCTCGGTTGGAAATCTCCCTTGTAATAGGTTTCCTGTAGAAATATTATGTCGGCTCCCTGCCTGTCTAATTCCTTTGCTTACATAGTGCGTTTCTCCACGGAATTGAATCCCTTTACATTCAGGGACATTAATTTAATCTGTACCATATGGACTTAGGAAGTCTCCGTAATGCATAATGTGGTGCAGGATGGTGGTAGTCGACCAAACGAGGGAGGGAAGATGCGGGGGAAACAGAAACTATGTACATAAATATGATACGAAAGTGGCAGTGAGCTTGGCGCTGCACCTGTGGGAGACGTATTCGTGTCCACAAGTAGTTTTGGGGGTGGTGACCAAGATACTATCACAGGGATTAGGTGAGGGCATCGTCGGGAATAATTAAAATGAGTGGTATAATGTTCACCCGGCTCAGGGGTGAAACACGTACTCCCGATATAAATCAGGGGCTCAGTCTCCTGTGGGTCCCTTTAATCCTAAATATACATTAGAATCTCTATATTCTAGGGCTGTGTGACAATGGCAACATAACAAGAAAATATTTGAACATTCTGAACACTAAGGTTCACTAATATGTGAGGTGATTCAGCTCAAAGGATATGAGCGGACATCAGTAACAGTCCTCAGGACGCTTTATCTCTGGGTGTAGTGAGGGTTTAGGTTCCCGGCTGGATCTGCATTCTGAGCTTTCTTGGTGTTCTTTGCTATCTGGACCTTTGCGGCATCTGTTTGGGTGGACAGCCCGATAGACGAAGTCTTCCACTTTGGTGGGAGGTAGGCCCAAAGCCTGTTGGAAATCCGGTACGTCCGCCGGTGTAGTATTGGTGTGTGTCTTATCTTGATGCGTCACCAGGAAGGCGAACGGAAAGTTCCATCGAAATTTAATATGTCTCTCCAGCAGGGCCTGGGTAATGAGCCTTAGTGCACATCTAGCATGTAAAGTAGTCGGCGAAAGGTCTTGATAGGACGGCCACCGGGTGACCATCAAATGTCAGTTCTCTGTTTTGGCGTGCTTTACGGAATGTTTCTTCTTTCAGAGGGAAATTATGAATACTGCATATAAGGTTGCAGGGTTAATCTGGTGGTAAATGTATATGCCTTGCTGCCATATGCGCTCTGTCAAATTTGATAATAGTGTCAGGGGAGTGTGGCGAGGATGAGATTAAAAAGAGCAGTCGAAACCTGTATGGGGTTCTCCGTGGAGCCATCTGGTCCCTCCGGAACAACTCTCACATCTCAGTAAAGTTAGAAATTATTTTGAACTGTCACTTTTAAAAATAGCTCATAAAATAGTTTAGATATTAAAATATAGGTTATATTACATAATCATACTAGTGTTTTTAGGGCAACTGAATATATTATAACATTTATTATAATTGTTATTTTTATATAAACATAGTGTGTTATATTTAATTATAATTCACCTATTGATAATAATTTTTGCACATTATTTTAATAATATTGAGTATTACCCCAATATTCTTTTAAGTTTTATGTTTAGGTTTTAACAAGTATAATATATGTTGATATAACATTTACTAGAAAAGGAATATCATATATCTATATATAATGTAATAATCACAGACTGCATTTATTTTCATATTTATTAATTGTATTATACATCATTAATACTAAAATAAGCATATGCATATTAGCAATAAATCATTGAATAAATCAAGAACTGAGAAAAGAAATAGAGTCATCATGTTCCTCAAGTGGAACACAACGTTAGAGACTGAATTGCATCATCAACTGTGAAAAGGAGGAGCCGCAAATGTAATGCCGGGACATAAAAAAAAAAAACATAAGCGGTGCAATGGAAGAAACTGTTGAAATCAAGGCTTGGGATGCAGCGCGCTAGCATGAGTAAGGAGAGACAATGCAGACATCCCAGCTGACTGTGTTTGCAATAGTTATGAAAAATCCCAGCTCATTTTGTTTACAATGATTATAAAAGGTTTAACAGGAGGAAATATTACTGGAAAGCTTTTTCATTTGCACAGGAATGAGGAAGCCTAAGGTAAATGAAATACATACCTGGTACATTTAATATTGGCATTGTGTATATTTATATATACTATTGTTGTTTTTAATATTTTTAAAGTAATAATAAAGTATATATATTTTTTTAAATATATTGATCATCCAGTTTCATGCAACAACTAACAGACGGTATGGTCCTTTACCCATACAATGCTGTTTTACCGAAAGGGAGGACTCACTTTATGGAACCACACACCTTCTATACAGTGAACTCTAGAAAGTGTAAGAGTTCCATTTTTATGTGAACACATCATTAAATAAGAATAAGAAAAGTAAATCTCTTTGCACAATAGAAGTGAATTAATTAAAATGAATTGTATTTTGAGCATTGTGTAAAGGTTGTTGTAGTAGTTGTGGTATTGGTGTGTTTTTTGGAAATTGCACACTGCAGTGTGGCATCAGCTCACTTAATTTTAATATTGTTAAAACATATATTTTTAAGACAATTCACTATGTAGCACTCTTTGCACAAATATTATTGTTAAGTAGTTAATAAAATAATTTAGCGGATGCCTAAAATTGCAGAATGTTGGTGTAGAGTCACCACAGAGATGTGTTTCTTACACAAATACAGTATCAGCATTGGCACAATACAGTGATGAAGGGCCATGATTCTCTTTTCACAAATACTGAGACCATGAGCATTAAAGGACCACTATAGTGCCCTGAGGGTGCCCCCACCCTCAGGGACCCCCTCCTGCCCGGCTCTGAAAAGGGGAAAGGGGTAAAAACGTACCTTTTTCCAGCGCTGGGCAGGGAGCTCTCCTCTTCCGATCCTCTTCCTCTCCGCCCATTCGGCTGAATGCGCACGCGCGCATTCAGCCGGTCGCATAGGAAAGCATTTACAATGCTTTCCTATGGACGCTTGCGTGCTCTCACTGTGATTTTCACAGTGAGAAGCACACAAGCACCTCTAGCGGCTGTCAATGAGACAGCCGCCAGAGGCTTTGGAGGTTGGATTAACCCATTTATAAACATAGCAGTTTCTCTGAAACTGCTATGTTTATAAAAAAATGGGTTAACCCTAGCTGGACCTGGCACCATTAAGCTGAAGTGGTCTGGATGCCTAGAGTGGTCCTTTAACAGACATAAACTTTAAGGATGCACACTTTAGTGATTTGAGAGGGAGATCCTGTGTCATTGAGGGAGATCATGTATCCTAGTATGAGATTAGTAAGGTGGTGAGGTTACTCCTGTGCCTAGCTGGTCACATGTACACCACCTTTGAATGGGAGAAAGCCTGTGCAATTGATCATGGTGAGTTGGTTAGGTTACTGCTGTGCCTAGGCAGAAATTGCCACTGCCACCTTACACAAACTTTTAGTGGGAGAGGTTGACAGACATGCAGACACTCAGTATAAGTTTTGACATTACAGTGCTTGTGTGGTTGGGGGAGATAGCCTCTGTACTAGTGTGTTACTGGTTAGGAATTACTGTTTCCAACCTGCTGGTGCCAATTTGAGAGGGATATAGTGATAGCATGGGTCATTGATCCTAGTGTGAGTCTCGTTAGGTTACTTTTGTGTCTAACCACTGCGAGTGTCACTTACACAAACTTTGTTTCAATGACTTACAATGTAGTAAATCTATTAAATTTAACTGTTTGTACAAATTTTGTTTGAGTGTGCTCAGGTGTATGCTGTGTAAGTGTGCCAAAACTGTAGTGCTGTAACGAGAATATACCCCTACACGCAGGATCCAGCTAAACAGAGGCAAATACAGAGGAGAGATACGTCTACCGGACCTTAGAATGGCCGGACTCGACGTATATGAGAGGAGACAGAGCCAGGAACAAACCGAGGTCAAGGGCACAGAGAGACAGCGTAAACTAGGACAAGCCGGGGTCTGGTACACGGAAAACAGCAAGCCGGCAAACAGTACAGATAAGGATAAAGCGAAAACGAAGTCAGAATACGAAGCCAAAGTCAATACGAGAAAACACAACTGAACACCACAAGCGCTAAAGGGAACTGAAACAGAAACCACGATAGGGCAACGAGCTAAGGGAAAAAGGTAAGTTAAATAGCTTTTAAACCAAAGTGATTGGCTCCTGTCACTTCCACACCCCCTATAGGTAATTGTATAGGGAGTGTGGTATGACAGGAGCCAATGGGAGCCTTTTGGCAATTAGGCTCCCACTGTCTCTTTAAGAGCGCGCCCGAGACTCGCGGCGCGCTCTTAGTTTCAGGCGGGACACGTGACCGCTTCACGCGGTCACTGCCCGCCTTCCATCTGAAGCAGTCGGATGAGCCGCGCGCGGCTCGTGCAGCCGCAGGACCGCGCGCGGCTTGAAGAGAGGACCGCGACCGGCCCCCGGTTAAGGTAAGTAACGCTACAGTACCCCCCCCTGAGGACACGCCCCCCGGGCGGGTAGGACCAGGCCTGGCAGGAAAACGAGAATGGAAAGAGCGCACAAGACGGGGAGCATGGACAGCATCAGCCGAAATCCAACTGTGCTCCTCAGGCCCATAACCCTTCCAATGTACCAAGTACTGAAGTCGACCCCTAAGGAAACGAGAGTCAAGAACAGCAGACACTTCAAACTCCTCATGACCCTCCACCGAGATAGGAGGGGGAGGAGGAGTATGCCGGGTATAGCGGTTGCGTACGAAAGGTTTCAACAATGAAGTGTGAAAAACATTAGGAATACGCAGATTCTTAGGCAGGCCTAAGGCATAAGAAACAGGATTAACCTTATGTATAATACGATAAGGTCCAATGAAGCGGGGAGCCAATTTCATAGAAGGCACCCGGAGACGAATATTCCGCGTGGAAAGCAAAACCCTGTCCCCCACAACATAGGACGGAGCTGCTCTGCGATGCTTGTCAGCCTGAGCCTTCTGGCGAGTAGCAGAGTCCACCAAAGAACGCTGAACCTGCTCCCAAGTATTACGCAAACCAGCCAAATGCTCATCCAGAACTGGCATGCCCTGTGAGGAGAATGCAGCCGGAAGAACAACGGGATGCTGGCCATAGACAACGTAAAAAGGGGTCTTGCCGGAAGAATCATGAGTGGCGTTATTCCGAGCAAATTCAGCCCAAGGAAGCAGGTCAGACCAATTGTCCTGATGGTGAGACACAAAACAACGGAGGTATTGCTCCAGAGACTGGTTGGCACGTTCAGCAGCCCCATTAGACTGGGGATGATAAGCGGAAGAAAATGAGAGAGAAATACCCATTTCTGAACAAAAGGCCCTCCAGAACCTGGAAATAAATTGGCTACCCCTATCGGATACAATAGATACGGGAATCCCATGTAATCGAAATACTTCTCTAGCGAAGATATGAGCCAGTTCCTTGGATGTGGGCAACTTGTGAAGAGACACGAAGTGAGCCATTTTGGAGAACCGATCCACTATCATCAGGATTACTGTGTTACCATTTGAAGGGGGTAATTCAACAATAAAATCCATGGACAGGTTAGACCAAGGTCTCTCGGGAACGGGTAACGGATGCAACAGCCCACAAGGAACTCTACGGGAGGATTTCATACAGGCACAAGTAGTACAAGCACTTATATAGTCAGTGACATCCTTTCGTAAGGAATCCCACCAAAAATACCGAGAAACAGCTGACACCGTTTTGGAAATACCAGGATGTCCAGCAGTCTTAGTATCATGATATAATGACATAATATCCCGTCTCTCAGGAACATCAACGAACAGTTTATCATTAGGCCTCTCGCTAGGTGCCATGCTTTGTTTCGCTTGTATGGCCTGCAAGAGGGACGAGGAAATAGACAAAATAGTAGTAGCTATTATCCTGTCTGGGGAATGACAGGAGTAACATCAATCTCCTGTTTGTCAGTAGTTTCGAACTGTCTGGACAGAGCGTCTGCTTTAGTGTTGCGATCACCTGGCCTATAGGTGATAATAAAATTGAAACGGGACAAAAATAGTGACCACCTAGCCTGCCTGGAAGACAATCTTTTGGCTTCGCTAA